TGATGATGATGGAAAATTGCAATTCAATTAGTCAAACGACATATGTTTTTTTCTATTATTGTTGTTCAAAATCAAATTTCAATTGAAATTTACAGAAAGAAAAACAAATATTGATAATAATAACGCCGGGCCCCATTATTCCATAATGTTGATTTTACACTGATAATAACATTATTTTTCTATTAATTAATTAAAAGTAATAATAATTTTTCTGTTTTTCATTTCCATTTTTACAACAACAATATAGATTTGTGCATTTGTAATCACTGATAATCACTTATTACTTTCAACTCTCAAAACAACATCATAAGCAAATATTATTGCCGACGCCGATGATGATTATTGTCATTATTGTTTAACTTGTAGAGAGAAATGAAAACACAATCTGGCAAATTTTTATTATCCAAGCAAATGGAAACGCATTTTTTACGGTGAATCCATAACAACATCAACAACAACAACCAGAAAAAACTTTGAAATGTGAAAATATGAAATGTTTGTTTGAAATGCATTAAATTTTTTGCATCTATTTTTTTTGTTTGTTTTCATCATAATAACCTTGATAAATTTTTGTGTGTGTGTGTGTTGTTGGTGACAATCGATCAAAACAAACAACATTAAAATAATCAACCAGAAACCAGGATTTATCACTATGATGATGATGATGATGGTCAGATGACCGTATAGCAATTATCATCAATCGATTTGGTTTTGATTGCACAATTACTTTAATATCATCAATTTTTTCTAAATTATTGAATAACGACCAAAAAACCAAAAACAAACAAAAAAAAATCCACCCTCTCTTCATTACTTTTGTTCATAAATGTTGACAATGTCACATAATGCTTCCGTTGAACATGGAAGCTGGAAAGAATCATTTCATCGTTCATCCAATGATTCAGTTGAATCATCATCATCATCGGATGATTCAGATAATTCATCATCATCAACAAATAGTAGTCTAAATGGTGGTGGTGGTAATAGTCGACCAAATAACAACAGCAACAGTAATTCACATTTACAACAACCACCAATTGGTTGCATAACAACACATCGTGTATCAGCTGTAATACGACCAGAAATTAAAATACCACCAATTGATCCATTACAATTTGTTAAAATACAAAAAAATGAACTTTCTAAAACGGTAAATCGTTGTTGCTTTTTTTCCAGGAAATATGTTATTAAATCATTTTTTTCCTTCAACATTTCATAGGCCGTCGAACAGATAAAATTAGCGGAAGAGGAAAAAATTACGAAAGAAAAAATTAAAGAAGTTGAAGAAGAATGGCAAAATAATCTGATGAGTTGGAAATCTAAACGTAAACTAACAAAAAATCATTCCGAAGGTTTGTTTTGTATATATGGTTGACCGAGCGTGTCCTTATCATTATTAAAATATTTTTTTTTCATTATTCAGATGAAATATTACCACGTAATCCTAATCGTAAAACGAAAACATTTTCCGAAATATTAATGGAAAAAGCCAAATCAGGAGCCAGAATTGGATATAATCTACATAAATATGTTGATCCAGATTTGGAAAATGTTGATAATGTTGATAATAATTTGAATAATAATAATAATTCTCATCAAACAACAGAGTTTTTATTGATGGCAAAAGGTTAGTCATGATTATAATTACCATTATAGACATTGTGTAAATTTTTTTTCCTATGTGTATGTGTGTTACTCAGGTGATATCACCTTAGATTAGTGGATTATTGTTGTTGTTGAATCAACAATGAATGATATACACGTATACGTTACATAGACACACACACACACGCATGCAAAAAAAATACCGCAAAATAATCTTTTACTTTGAAGTTTTAGAGCTTCAAACAGAAAAAAAACGATTATTTCATTAATGATTAGTGTGTCCTAATTAAAACACATTCAGACAAACACACAGTCATTGTAATTAAAAAAAATTTCATTTTCCCATCTTTTTTTTTCTTTATTAGATGAAATGGCCAAAAGAAATGATAATAATGTTTCACGACCGAATATGGATTCATCGAGTTCATCAAGGGAACAACAACAATTAAATATGAAAACAAATTTGGATCGTTTTATGGAATTGGATGATAATGAAAATTCAATGAATGATACTAAACAAATTACTAGAAATGGTCTTGGTGAAATTGTTGTTTTTAATACATCACTTTTGGAAGAATTTAGTGTTAAATCTGAACAACAACAACATTGTGATAAAAAACAGCAACCAAATAATGATGATAATTCATCTAAAGAAATTCAAAAAGTATTATTAACAAATTCCAAAAATGAATCATCATCATCATCAGCTATTCGTCGTTTGGATAAAAAAGTTCATGTGCCAATCAATGATTGGAAATCAAGCCATCAACAAGTGCAACAATCACAACAACAACAACAACAATTAACAAGAAAATCATCTTCATCAAATGAAGATGATATATCAAATGTACAACAACAACAGAATAGTAGCTTTGAAAATGATGATGATGAAGAATTATTGGATGAAGAATTGGAAAAATTACGAATTGATCAGGAAAGATCGTTTAAAGCTAAATTACATACATTTGAAATTTTAGCCAAACAAGAAGAAGAAGCAGCTAGACGTGCAGCTGAAGCTAATATTCGACGACAAAAAAATCGTCTGGCTAAATTGGCTGCTGAAAGATCAAAATCTTTATCAAATATTAATTCACAACCAAAACATCCGTTAGTAGATTCTAGCTCGGTTTCTAGTTCATCATTACAAAATAAAATTTCCAAAGTAAATAACAATGATAAATCAGCTAATAAATCAATACAAAATGTCAAACCAGTCAACAACAAAAACAACGATAACAATAATAATGAAGATAATTATTATTTGACATGTAAAAATCAACCAACCAATTCAGTTGTTTATAATTTTAAAGAAAAACAAGTCGAACCACAGCCACCATCATCAAAAAACACCAGTGCAGCTACGATCGAGCAATCACGAATATCGCCTACCAAAGGACAAACTATTGGACAAAAGTCATCATCCATACAACCGGTAAAAATTCAAACGATAAAAACATCACAACAGGTGATGATGAAAAATAATAAATTACCTGGAACACAAGAATCTATTGAACAATCATCAATGAATAATATTTATGAAAATGTTCCATCGATCACTACCAATCATCATCAACATCCAAATTCGATTCAACAATCAAATAATAACACTGCCACCACCTCTAATGTTCATCAACAACAACCAGCAACAACATTAATTCAATCATCGAATGATATTATTGGTGATCCTGATACAATTCGTAATGCAAGTCAAAAATTACTTCAACAACAGCAACAAATTTATCAGAATCAACCACCACCACCAACAACGATAACAACAAATTCAATAAAACATCCATCAATGATTGCACCATATCCAAATGATCATTATTCAAATATTTCATCATTACATGGTAATTTTTCTTTTTTTTGGTGAATTTTTCTGATTGACTAATCAAATACAAATTAATTTATTAAAAATAGGCAAAACTGGTAGCTATCTTCATCATCATCATACAATTTCGGATGATGTTGGATTACCACCGATTCAGATAACCAAATCGATACAGACATCAATGCCTCCAACAACATCAGCGGATGATTCGCCGCATTTGCATTCGCATCATCATCATCCGCCGACGCATCCAGTTTATCAGAATCAAATGATTACCAATTCACAACAGTTTCATAATTATGAAAATAGGTTAGTTTTTTAATTTAATTTGATAAAATCTAAAACTAATGACTAAACTAATTTATTTTCACGGAATGATAGTCCTGAAACAATGATTTTACCGGCTCGTGATGATCTAGTGAGTTGTTATTATCCACCACCTATTACAGAGCCCAATTTCCATAATCATCATCCTCAAACACCAAATTATCCCCAATCAAATCTATCAATGAATGTAAATTCACAATATCTTTATTATCCAAAGCCGTATGTTGTTGGTTCGAATGGAAATACGCAACAAATATTAAAACCCAATGTTGTTGTTTCGAAACAACAACAATCTACAATGCCGAATAATGTAACAACGCGTGTACCACCACCATCATCAACGGCAAATCGTTATGGTGCTAATGGCTATAATCCAAATCATTGGGTCATACAGGAAGCAGAATTACGGCAATCAACACAAAGAATGCAACAACAACAGCAGCAGCCGGCAGTTCAGCAATTACCTTTATCACAAGTTTCATCGAATAGTAAAAATTGTCCCGGATATTTATCCGTTTCGGGTAAAAAGAAATGTTCAAAATGTGGTGATGAATTGGGAAAAGGTTGTGCTGCAATGGTAGTCGAATCGCTTTCATTATATTATCATATTAATTGTTTCCGGTGTTCAGTCTGTAATATTCAACTTGGTAAGTTTCAAGAATTCTTTTACCAAATTTTCTTATCTTTTTCCTTCAATTTCAATTCAAGGCAACGGTACTGTTGGCACTGATGTTCGAGTACGAAATAATAAATTACATTGTCAAAATTGTTATTCTAATGATGAAGGTAATATATTTGTGAATTTTTTATTCATTTCTTTAAAATATCTTTTTTAAATAGCTGGTCTCAAATTCAGTCGTGTTTGATTTCCATATATATGAATGGTTGCAATCTGCTAAATTTTCCAAAATGTTTGACAATTTGAAATCAATATAAAGATTTTTCACCACCAATGATAATCAGTGATCATTCTAAACCCAATTTTTGTATTGTTTTTTTAAATCTTTTTGCTTTTTTCCCATTTACAGTTTTATATATCATACTTTCTTGTAACAAATCAAATAAAAAAAGTTCGTTTCGCTTGTATTACAATCTAATTGAATGCAATATTTTGATTGATTGATTGGTTGGACATATTGTTTGGTCATGAGCCTAGCCATAAGCACTCCAATGGTGATGATGATGAGAATGTGGTGATGCGACAACATTCGGATTGGAATTCATTGGTGGACTAATTGTTGATGGATTATTAGTATTGTTGTTGTTGTTATTGTTGATAACAACATTACCATTTGGACCAGTTTTATATAAATGATATGCAGCAGCATATTGATCAACTAAATGATGATATGGATGGGGATGTGGATGATGATGATGAGCATGATGAGGATGATGATAAGGTGTAGTAGATGTCATTACTTGTGGTTTTAGAATTGGTGGTGTTTCACGTATAACCGATATGTGTCGTAATAGATTTGGTGATGATGTTGTTGTTGATTCATGATTTGATGAAGTAGATGATGGTGGCTGTTGAATAACATTATTAACCATGGAATTGCTGTTTGGCGGCGGTGGTGGTGGTGAAGGAGATTTCCATGGCCGTACTGGACTAGAATTCATTCGTCGACGTTTAATTATGTTTATGTTTTCCGATGATGATTCCATTGGCGATGAACGAGAATTAGTGGTCGTCGTCGTTGATAATAATCTTGGACTACGTGACATATGTGTTTCATTTTGATTTAATTGACCACCGCCATTAGGCAATCCACCATCTCCAATTGATCCTCTTGATGAACAACGCATTACATTGTTATTATTAAGTTTATTTGCAATCAAATCAGGTGATGGTGAACTTGAATGTGATGATTTTTTGATATGTAACGACCGTATTTTACCAATTGGCGGACCACTTGAATTTGTTGTTGTCGATGTTGATGTTGATGAAATAATTTTACTACCAATTTGACATTGATCCATTATTATACCGGTATATTCGATTGCACTGCCAAAGCATTAAATAAATTGAATGAATTGAGATGATTAAATCATAATTAATAAATTACCTTAGTACATAATTGACACAAATAACACTTTGTTCTTGATCATCTTGACCAGAAATAGTATTGGGAATTGTACTAGATGAACCAGGACTACTTCCCGATGATTTATTTTGTATTGTGGTACTGTTAGTTATCGTTGTTGTTGTTGTCGATGTTGTTGGTGTTGATGATGGGGGCGGAGGAGGAGGTGGTGGTGTAGGTGATGGATTATTACAGATAAGTGTTGCACATGTTTGTACCCATGTATAACCACCGGATTTATTTACAATACGATAATAATTCGACATTGATTGACCTTTATGTATTACTAATTTTGAAATAATTTAAAAAAAACATTATGAAAAATAACACAATGATACATTGAATGATTTACTTACAATCAATATGACATTTTTTCATTAATGTAACATCTTGTCCATGTATTAATGAATAAAAATTTCTACCAATCAATTCATCGGGTAAATAATTTAATAATTCAGTTACTCTATCATGATAGAAAACATTAATTAATAAAATTGCAAATTTTAAATTGGGTAAAAAACATACCTAGGTTCACAATGCAGAATTTTAAAATCTAAACTATGTCTTGTAACAAACATATCTGGTTCTAAACGTAATTCATTTATTGATGGTGGTGGTAATGCTATGGCCAATGCAACAAGGCCGATAATTTTTGAATTTCCACCATTATTATTATTAATTAGATTCGTTGAACGATTACGTAACATTTCAGCACGTAAATGTGCAACAATATTTACTACACGATAACCACTTGATTTAAAATGTTGACAACCACGTTTAGTTAATGTTGATTTCATTCGTATACAGAATTGCCGTTCAAATGTATCATCAATACCATTTGTTGACATTAAACTATGACCATTTGAATAACCACTACCAATACCACCATTATCCGAATCATTCGATGTATTTGATGAAACACTAGCCGGTGGTAATGGTGAATTACTATGATGATGATGATGATGAGGAGGAGGATGATTATGAATTGAAGTAGTTCCCATTGTTGTATTAACACTGGTGGCATTCGGTTGTGCATGACTCAGACCTTTGGAAAAAAAGTTAAAAAAAATTAGTTTTTTTAGAATAACAAAAAATCCGGAAATTACCCAATTGTTCAGCCAATTCTTGATGATCTTGTTGATGTGTATAATCAAAAATACTTGAACCAGTCATTTCAACTTGACTTAAACCAAGATAAATGGAAACCGTTTCGGAAATGTATAGAAATCGTCCATCTTGCCCTAGTGCAAATGCAAATCCATCCAATGATTGTAGAATGTGAGTGCCTTGATGGCTTTCAAATACACTATCTACCAGACAAAAGAAAGTTTTATATTTTAGTTTTTTAGTTTACTTTTTTTTCATCATAATTTGATCAATTCGGGTGCGAATAAAAAAAATTCTGATTCCTATCACCACCAGAGAGAATTAATTATTAATTAATGATTCGATCTGATTTTGATTTGATTTTGATTTTGGAAATCAGGAAAAAAAAGGCCGGAAATCAAACACAGGAGACAAACCAAATAGCCAACTACAGTGTTATTTATTTTTGTCAAATGTTTTTGTGTTTGATGAAATATCTCAATCATCATCGATTGATGAAAAACATTGCTGCTAATGATGACGATGATTCATCCAGATTGATGATCAACCAGCAAACAACAACAACAACAAGGACGAAACCATCATTTCATCGAAAAAAAAATGAAAAATTTTGCAAACAAAAAAAACGAAACTTTAAAATATTCATTGCCAAAAAACACAAACTATGACTAAATTATGTTTTTTTTTTGTTTGTAAACATTATGGTAATCAATTCTAACAGAGAAAATTTCTGTAAAATGATAACCATTAATTATCGACAAACAGCAACATTGGATATCATATTTTTTCATCATCATTTATGTTTCGGTTATTGCTGACACTTTTTTTTGTTATTTGTTTTGGACCCGGCTGTGTGATAGATATATCCACCACCACCACCACCATGACATCAATTGAAACAATTGAAGCGTTCATAACTCGATTAAGCTTTTGTCAACACCATTGATGCCTACGATGAAAAATACAATAAATAAATGAATGAATGACCGTACGGATGGGGAACGCGTAATTTTTTTTCCAGAAAAAAAACCTGTGAACCCAAAATATAATTGTGTGTGTGTGTGCAATGTAATATGTGTAATGAAATGAATGACCTTAGAAAAACCGAATAGAAACAAGCAAAACGACAACGATAACGAAGAAAATCATCTAACAAAAACCATAGGAGATCTCCGTGTGTGTGTATGTGGAGAGTGTGAGACACGAGTTCTTATCAATCATAATCAAAGCCAAAAAATCCTTTTGATGTTTGGTTTTCTTGTTTTGCAATGATGAAAGCTTGTTACTTAAATGTTTGGGACCACCATTGAATGATGATGATGATGTTGGTGGTGGGGGAGGGGGGAAATACCAAAAAATAAAACATCATCCAGCACCCACCAAAAAAAAAATTATCACATGAATATTATCATTTTAACCACCATTGTTAACATTTTAACTATAGTCGAATACTGTGATACTGATTCACGCCTCGTCGATATTTTTCATTGTTTAGCTAAATAAATATATTACGGTCGAAACCGAAACAAAAAATGAGAATAATGATAATGATAATGGCCCTTGTATATATATTACATAACCACACACTACACTACACATCTTATGTTATTGCTATTGTATTTGAAAATTACCAATATTGTGTATTTAATCAAAAAAAAAATGATTTATATTCGATAATAATAATAATGATCTCTTGATTTACGACAAAAAGCCACAAGGGTAGTAGGCTTAGTATAGAGAGGAGGGAAAAAAATCACAATGATTTTAACCGTGATTCAAAGATTTCATTTTAAAAAAATCAAAAAAATTTGTAATGTTTTTTTTTTTGCTAAACTGCCACACGACAACATCATCAATCAGTCAAAATTGCTATGGAAGAAAAAAAAACTAAATTGGAAAAAAATGATGTTTGTAAATTATGAAAATTTTTGGCAAGCTAAAAAAATTGAAGTAAGACTCGATCCGAATGTGAATGTTTCCAATGATCAATGATGATGATGTATGATGATTGAATGATGTTCGAATTCAATGGATACCTAATCTTTGATCTAATGAAAAAGCAACAACAACGAAATTCTACACCACCAAACAAACATTTGGTTGGTTGTTGTTTTTTACCAAGAAAAATAACAAACTATAGTCGAACGACGTTCCCAATTGTACTGATGATGATGATTTGTGAAACAATCGAAGCGAAAGTTTTTCCTATTTGTCATCTCTATGAATTTCATATATACGTATAGTGTGTAAAATGTTTGTATATTAACGGTTCGTTTGACGATACGTTTGTTGTTTAACAACTAATTAATCATCAAAAACACATACACAGAACGAATATGAATGCAATGCGATGACAAGCTAATTAACATTAAACATTTGGTAACTTTCGATAAATAAGAATAAAGAAAAAAGAGAAAAAATGAATTATCCCATATCATTGGATTGTTGTGTTTGGTATTTTTTTCCCGTTGATTCTTATTATCGGATTTTCTCTGGCCAGAAAACAAAACCAGGAGAAAAAAAACTACCAGTTTTGGATGTCATTTGTTGACATTTGTAATTTCCTTTCCTATTTTCCCTAATCAATAGTAAAAAATATTGATGATAAAAAAAACTTACTTGCTTTACATTTCAATGCACTTAAACTGCTCAATGCATTATTCCATGATGGTTCACCATTTTGTGAAAATTCACGTAATTTTAGATAGCTTATTGTTAAACGTATTATTGATGCTTTGTCTATTCATTTATAAAGGGAACGAAAGAAAGAAAAATAAGATTAGCTTTAGTTTCATCATAACGTTTTCGGGGTTATTTTGAATAAATATCAGTTACCTAACTGTGATGTAATAGCTGCAGGCAATGGTAACATTTTAGCTAATTCATAAAATTCATGATTCTCTTTACCACGACGGCTACGTGCTGCATCACGACTTTTTTCTTTACGCATTTCAAGTATTCTTTATATTTTTGTTGTTGTCCATAAAAATAAATGACAAAACAGCAGCAGCGGCGACGTGTGCAAATGTGATTTGCATTTGATCCAACAATATCGATCCAGAATAATCGGTTGTGATAAAAATCGATTCCAAAAATATTTGATAAAAGAAAAAGAAACAAAGAAAGAATGAAAATAAATTGACAATGGTCATAAATTAATGGGTTAATCTCTCTCTCGCTCTACATAGAATATACAGAATTCTCAATTCACACAATTAAATTTATAACAAAAGTAAAAGTATCACATTACTTATAAATAACATCCAAATGATGATAATAATAATGAAAGTGTGATATCCAAGTGTGCAAGTGTTATAAATTTTCCATCGTTACAATCATAATGATAATGATAATAAAAATAAGAAAAAAAAATCTGGACACGTGATTTGAAGTTTGAATTTTTTTTTCATTTTATGTCCAGAAAACTAAAAGATGTTTTGTTTCATTCATCAATTTGGTTCATTGATTATTGATCATCATCATCACTACTGCTGGACTGGACTGGACACTCACACAGTGGAAATGTAAGTTACTTTTTCGGATACAATTTTCAATGATTAACTTTGGATGATGACCATTCGACGGTTGTTTCAATGCGTTGGAGTTGAAGAAAAAAAAATCCTAAATACACTATAGTTTAATTCCTTGGGGAGAAATAATTTGCTTACATACACTATGTGTGTGGGTGTGTGTGTTGATGTGTGTGCGTATGGTCAGCTCTAAATAAATGAAAATCATTATTAACAATCATCATCATCATGATAATCAATGAACATTAAATTTTATTTATTTCTTTTGATGATTGAATGGAAGGCTTGGCTTTGCCTACTGAATTCACTACACACACACACACTAAATCCAGCAAAAAAATATATTCAATCAAATCAAATCAAACAAATCGAAGAAGAAGAAGAAATAATAAAAACATTCAGTTTAGTTTGATTGAATTGAAAATTGAAAAGTTTTGTTTTCAGATACAAAAAATACAATATTGTTAATTGAACCGAATAGATATTTAAACACTAGCCACTGATGCACACTTGTAAAAATAATGACCATCATCATCCTAATGCTATTGATATTCATTCATCAAAATGACCGGAATTTTTGGTCAATGTGGCGACAAACAAAAAAAATAAATAAATAAATTTCTGTTTGTTTATTTTTTTCAAATGGTCAAACAATATGTACCAAAATAAAATAAAATGAAAACAAAACATAAATCAGTTGATCAATGGATTGGATAATGATAATAAACAGATGAATGGTCATCGTTATCGTCATGGTCATCGTTGTGTTTAACACTTTAAAATAGAAACGAGGAAAAAAACACAAGATAAGATCCAGGAAAATTAACCTAATGAAAAAAAAAATATTATTACATTAGAGCTTAACATACAGGGATATTTATCCAAACCCTGATTAAACTGACCAATAAAAAAAAGAAAAACTTCCGCACTTAGTGTTAATGAAGGTGAATGATCCATACCACCACACACAATGTATCAACATTTGATCAACACAAAAAAAACATATAAAAAAGTTTAATGATTTTAATTCAATCAAATAAAAAAAAACATAAACAAACAAAGCGCACTGAAGAAACATTGACCATTCCAATTCTCAATGCTGTCTATATCCATCCAGTGTGCTTTGAATGTCAAATTAACCATTTATTATATTGAATTTGAACCAATGGCCACCACCATCATCATAATCATAATCATCAAAAACTGGTCGTGTGT